TGTTTAATAAATTTCAAAACATGTTCCGATAAATATATCGACTGTTTTTTCATATTATTTAACCATCGTCAGAAAATAACAACTCTGAAGAGTATGAATAAAAAAAAACACCATCCCACATGAGTTTTTTTTTATTACTCTGACCATGTACTGAAAAAAATAATAATAATAAAATAAAAAGTTTTCTAATATGATTAAGTTTTTTTAATTATTTTTATATTTTTTTATCTTTGCATGTCTTCGAAAAGGGAGTTCTTTACTAGATATTGGACTAATTAATCTATGTATTATTCATTGACTTTAATTACTTATTAGCGTGTTCTACCTTTTTACAGTCATTTTATCTTAATTAGATTGGATCCGCAAAACCTTAATAATATATATATTTAGAACTAAAACCTTAATAATAAATTAAATAATAAGCCAGTGTCATACTTTCATATGTACTTTATTTTTTTTTTTTCAATATACGAATTTCATATATATTTGATCAATTTTTTACTCACAAACAAAATTTATAAAACAAACACGTGTTTGAGTCTCGTATATTATTTCTACCTCATTTTTTGTTTAATTTATTATCCTACATATGCAAACGATTATATATATAAAATTTCATAGATTTAAACCTTATATATTTTATATTTATATTCCGTATCATCCAAATTGAGCCATAAAAGAATATCTATATTTTGCTTTTTCTATAGTTTATTTTTTGACGTTCTAAAAATATTTGTGTGTGATTTTGGGAAGTTAAACTAGTATAACTTGTACATTCACATTGTACTAAAGAAAAAAAAGAAAAAAGAAAAAAAAATTTATACATTCATGCTAGTTCAATTTTTTTTTTATCAAATTCAAGATCAATAATTTACAGAATTATTGTGGGGAAGTTCTAAAAACGACATAGATACCTCGGTAGCTAGTTTATTGAAAAAATGATAACATATGTAACTTTATTTTTAAATAACTTCAAAAATAGAATCATATTATAAGTAATAGTGAAATATGTGTTATCACCGCATTGCATGTGATAATTCGAAAAGCAACGAATTAAATAATTGAAAATTTTCCTAAAGATAAAAGAAAAGCAACTAATTGGGTTTTTTTTTTCCAAAGCAATTAATTGTCTTTTTTAATCCGGAATTTCGATTTTTATCTATATATTTACTATATTAAAACAAAAAGTAAGAATCATGGAGAATGATGTTTCTTTTTTATTTTTATTTTATTTTTTTTGAAAAGCAGTAATCAGGGAGAATCGTTTGTATTATATCCAAACTTAAATTTATTTCTCACACCCATGTAAATCATGATTTAAATTTAATGGCTTAGTAATACCTTATAATTTATTAAAGTTTATTTGATTAATAATGGTGTAATAAAACACTCCCACAGGCAGATACACGTAACCTAAATAATTGACACAAGTAGTAATAACTTTTAATTCTTGACATTTCCACCCTCGAGCATTTTAATGTTCTCGCATGTTATTTAAGTAATTAAGTATTGATGTCTTTAAAATCTATTAGCATTCCTACACACACCATGTACATATAATTTTATTAATATCTACAATATCACAACTTTTAAAAGGATATATTATAATTGAAACAATTAATTAATTCTGAGCGAAGAAAATTTAATAATAATCTAGAAATGGTCTTGTTATTTATGTACGTAATATTATGATCCCAATCAACGAATTGACGACGGCTTCAAAAACATGGATTTGTGGTTTATGCGCCAAGAAAGTTAATAGGAGATTCAACTATCCTAGTGCATTATACAAACGTGCCAAATAATATAAGGAGGATGAGAATTTGAATATCGAACTTCAAAATAAGAAGTAGATGTTATTTACGATTGAACAACGTTCATGTTGGCTGCAGTAGTGCATAATAAAATATGAATCAATGCATGAAAGTAAAGGAGAATGGACTGTTATGATCCGTTTGGTACCTTTCCTATTTTTTATTTTTTGTGTTTTTTTATTTCGTATTTCTTGTTTTTTTATTTTTTATTTTTTCAATCCAGAAAAATATAATTATGTTTGATAACTATTTATTGGTTTTTAATAAAAAAACGAAAACATATGGGCAACTATCTTTTTTCTCTAAAATTTTATATTAAAAGAAGTAGCAGTTTTATACGAAACTTAATTTTTTCAAATTAAACATAAATTGTTTGTATCTTAGATTTATTCTTTTTATATTTATTATAAATTTTTTTATTATATATATATATATATGTGAAAATATGATTTAAAAATTACATAATTAAATTAATTATTTTTCAAAGGAGAAACCCCACCAGCGACAAATTAGAGAAAACTAGTTTTAACAAAGCACTAAAGTAACACATTATACATTTTAATTATTACACTGTAATTAATCAAGTGGCTGTAAATTAATTGATTGAGTTGGATCCCTAACTAAGTTGCCAAAAAATAATTTAAAAAGTAAGAGCATGTATTGAATAAATAGATGGTAAATAATTGAGTTTTCTTTTTGTTTCCTTTTTCCTTTTTGTTTTTTGGACAATCACAAATAATTGAGTTGCCATATTCATTTTTTAAAAAATACACGAGCTTACCACCGATAATTTTGAGTTTTTAATATGTTCTCAATAATCTTTCAATAAGTATTACAACATATAATAAATAATACGTCAAATTATTGATGGCGTGAATTATTATTTCTCATGTTAATTATTTTGACTATTTATATCATTCTTAACTTAAAAGAAAAAAAACCGACCATAATTTTTTATCATGCCTTGTTAGGGAAAGAATAAACTTTGATTCATACTTTATTTATTAAATTATGCGATATTGTTGGATAAAAAATTAACAATTCAAAACTTTCTTGAGTTTCATCGTTCATGAGAAATTACACCGAAGTTCTGATTCTACTGCATGTAAAATGTAAATATCCCTAAATCCTTCTCTAGAGGCGATGAAGTGCGGGCTCGGCCTAGTGGGAATTATGGGCCTCAATCAAGCGGGCTTGAGCCCACTTGAAAATAGAAAACGGGCTTTATACATACTTTGTGGGCCTGGGCCCACAAAGTATGAGGGAAAGAAGAAGTAAAGTAGCCTCCAGAACCAAAAAGGCTATAATTGTTCGAATTCCAAAGTGAAGGTAGCAAGAAAGCTCAAGACGGGGCGTGAAAAAGGCGCGACGCGAATAGCGCTATAAAAGACAGAGAATGGCCTTCACTCTCTGCAGCAGAGTCTCGGCTCCACTGCTATCCTCCTCTGCCCTACGACGTCGTTTGCCCCTTGTTGGCGCGTTCTGCGTACTGAGCTTCGGAATTTCCCATATCTTCATCTCCAGAACGGGTTCCGCTCTGTCTCTGCCTTTTGCCCCTCTCTTGAGGTACTTCTTTTCGCTTCCTTGCTTTCTTTTTCTGATTCATTTCTGCTGGGATTGATTCTTGCTGAGATTCTGCCTTAGTTACTAGTTAATTTGTTTAGGTTCTTTATTTGATCTGGAAAAATATGTCAGATCGAAGTTTGGTGGTCAAGGACCAGCTAGGAACGTACATTTTGTAAGAATGGAAGCGACTAGCGCCGCGGTGCCTAGCATTGTTGTTTATGTCACCGTCCCGAATAGGGAAGCAGGTTCTCTACTATCTCTCTGCTCTAAAAGTCCCGCGTTCTTGGTGGTTTTGAATTCATTGATTGGTATTTTGTACATTTGACCAACTACGATCTGATTACAATATATATTTTAGTTGCTATAGTTTTTTTTTTTTCTTTCCGGTTTCCAGTATCTTGTGTACGGCTTGGACTAGATTGTTTGTTCGTCATCCTAGTGATAAGCCTATCAGGATCTGGAAAACATATCTTGTGTGTGGTTTGAAATCGTTATGAGTGGTTATGCAAGTAGCCTCTTCACTGTTAGGCGTTTTTGGAGGAAACTTATATTGGCTACTTATGGAGTTTTGTGTTGATTCGGAGTTATAAATATATCTAGCGCATTGGTGTGCGATGAAAATATGCACATAATGACCGGACTCGATAAGCAAATGATGAATTATGATTCAACAAGTGCTGTAATGTTATTATATTGCATATATTGTTTTTGAACATGTATCATGTATTGGCTTCTTCTGGTGACGATGAATGTCTTGCAATAATTGTGGTGGTTGTTTTTATTTTCCACTCACTTGGATGATTAACGTTCTGAAATAGTAGGCCTTTGAGAAAGTTCAGAGTTATTTTTAAATGTGTATTGCTCCCACTTCAGAAAATATTACAAATTTGATGATTTCTTCAGAAACTTTTTTGGACTGTGAGATGCTCCATCTAACTCTAGTTGTGATGCTTAAAACATATTACTTATTGCAGTTCCATTTTTCCTTTTCTTTTTCTACTTTTATTTTCTTAACTCTTAAGTATGGTGGATTCTTGGAGCTTAAGGCCTTTTGTTTTCTTTTTTTTTTTGTTTAGTTATTTCCGTTCTCAACTTCTTTCTTTCCCTTTTAATTTTGTTGGGACAGAACTAGTCCAATGTTTCAAATTCCGATTTCATTGCATTTCGTTGTGTTTCCTGCTATATCCACATTTCTAAAAAAAAAATTATAACGAAATGAAATATGTAACCCTGTAATGTAAGTGTCTAGCAAGTGTTGGATCAAATGTCTAATGCCCAAACTAAACTGTAATGTGTTTCATAAGATTGAGAGTGGTTAGGCTATGGGTGGAGAGAGGGGGAGAAAAGAAAAGTAACTAATTTTTCAATACCATGGAGTTTACTTCTTTTTAATAGATTTTATATTTCTTATCTTATTCACCCATTATTTCTTCAGGTAAGAAATTGGCTGAAAGCATTGTCAAAGAAAAGCTTGCTGCTTGTGTTAACATAGTACCTGGTATGTACATTTTCTCCACCTCATACTGATTTTCTCGTAAGCCTACAATTTTAAATTTCCATTTAAGTAATATATCAATGTCTCTGGAACATGTGGCAGAATGGATTGCTCCTAGTTTTTGAGAAGATATTATATATACAATATTTATAAGCTATATTTGCAGAACATTTTGATGTTCTCCTTTAAGTTCTCTATCCATATCGATGAAATTGCTTCTGACCATTTAAAATTGAAGCTTCCTGGATCTTCCCTTCCCTGTTATCTAAGTGTGCTGTTTTTCAAGGAAGGAAACTTGTTAGAAATAGTTTATTTGGTCATGTATGAAAGAACAATTACTTGTTTCTTTTGATCAATTAACTCATGAACTGGCTTCTATAAATTTCCAAAACTCTGTTTTAATTTTTAATCGTTTCAATTTCTTACCATTGTATTCCTTTTCTTTTCACCTTCTTTTCGTTCCATTGTAACTGTTAATCTGAATATGCATTCTCAGACTTCTGATATATGAATACTTTATAAATGCAGGTATAGAATCTGTCTACCAGTGGAAGGGAGAGGTGTGGTTCTCATTTTCGCGAATCAATATTTAGTCATAAATATATGATTGCTTGTTTGTCTTTATCAAAAAATAACTTCAATTGTAGGCTTTTCTATTTCTGGTTGACAGATCCAGACAGACCCTGAAGAACTTCTGATTATTAAGACCAGGCAATCACTTCTGGGATCCCTGACAGATCATGTTAAGGCAAATCACCCTTACGAGTAAGCCTAGCATTCCTTCTTTGTCTTTGTTTCTGTTTTTTTGTTTTTCATTTTCAACATTGGGGGGAAAATGGTGTGGAAGGGCAAATAGACTTGTAAATTGTGAACTGTTTAACTTATAAGCTAGACATTTAGTGTCTATTTTATAGTAGTTTTTGTTTTGTTTCTAAAAATCATATTGATTTACAAATATTTTTCTTTGTTTATTAATCTACTTTCAAGAATGTTTTTCAAATCTTAGCCAGAATATATTAAACTAGTAAAAAATAGTTTTAAACTTTTTGTTTTTGATTTTTGAAATATGGTTAAATTTGTTTATAGTATTTTTAAACAGTTGAAAACTAATTAAACAAATGAGTGGCATAAGTAGCAAGAAACCAGAAAAATAAGATCATAATCAAATGGAATCTTAGTTTCTCGTGGAACTCGTTATGGTGTTATCACACTTTCCAGAGAGTATAGGGGAATCAGGGAGTTGTTTTAAAATTCATATTTTGTCCCCTCTAAGGATTTACCTCCGTTTTTAATACAGGGTGCCTGAAGTTATTGCTTTGCGTATAACTGGTGGCAGCCTCGAGTACCTAGATTGGATCAAAAGCAGCACGAAGGACTGACTTTCTCCTCAATAAGAAGTATAACAAGTTTATTCGAGTATATCAAGTATTGTCCGTTGAATTTGGTATCTGAGCCCCCCTCCCCATCCTCATGTGCAAGTGTCTCAATAAACTGGTTTGCCATCTTATGAATTGGAATACATGTTTGTCTTGTAAATTGTAAATAAGAATCAAAATGAAATTTCCAGATTGCTTTCTTTTGTCCTTGAATCTCAATACATTGGGTTTGTCAATTACTCATACCCTGACCTTACAGCAAATATGCGTTGGCAAAATGCATGGGGAAAAACTGCAGAAGGACTTGGTTCGAGGTCAGAAATCTCAACCCACAACTTCATATTTCATAATGATTTTTGGAAAATGGTTGTTGGTGGAATCCTTTCAAATATCGTCCTGCAAATAACTCCACTAGGCCTAGAATGTTATGTGAAAATTTGAGATGAAACGTATGAAAATGTTTCACATGTGGGTATCTTCTTTATGAGTTTTCAATTGGCATCGTCATCTCAGAATCCATTGAAAGCTTGTACGATAGCCATAGGCAACGTCGTGGATAGTGTGATTATACCAAATATGGTAGAGATCAAATGATGTTCCAGGTCTCAAACTTTGTATCGCCTTTTTCTCTTTATTTTAAATCCATATTCGGTCCACATTATGGCTGAAATTTTGCAAAGTCATACCCAGAGGTTAGTTTTATGGAAGATTTGTTTAACTCTGACAAGTGACCTAACGCCGGTAGTGCAAGTTTATTCAAAAACAGCGGGAAATATTAGAAACAAAAGAAAAATTATATGGATGGCCACGAGTTTCGTAGACAGACATTTTGGGAGTTGGGACAGAAACTCCATGATATTTGATAGCTTTCTTCCATGGTTTTCAGGAATCTCTTAAAACCCATAGAATTTTTCCTTTGTCAACGAGGGAGCATAGATTACTTTCTATCACAACTCCTGTTTTTTTCCCTTTTCTTTCCATCTGATTTGTGTCCATCCTATGGGGATGTCCGTGAAGGGGAAAGATCTAATATTTCATTGATAAATTAGTAACTCTATGACCGTCAGTAACTAATTAGGTTTCATCAGTTAACTAATTCCCATCAGAGTATTGGTTTTGAAGTAATAATATCAGGGTTATGAATGATTAATTAATCAGTTCGTCCGTAAAGATTCTCATAAAGAATTTCCATGTCATGCTAAGCTTAGATACTGACACATTCCATTGGTAACATTTTGTTCTTAGGAAATAAGGTTGCTCAGTTATAATTCATTTTTTCTTTTATTGTGATCTCTACTTAACAGAAAAATTTTATCCAAATCTTAAATCAAAAACTAATTCAAAAACCGAACCTTCTTTTGAAGTGAATTATAGGCTAAAAAATTTAATAGCATTTAAACTTGTTATTAAGAAAATTCATGTTATCATATCCGTTGGTTAATATTTTAAATTGTCTCAATTGCAGACGTCTCACAGTCACAGTCACGGTAACTTTAAATTAAACTGAACTTAACCAACAACGTCAAGAAGGGAAAATAAAAACTAAGATGCAACAGGAGTTCGTTTTTGACTACTCAAGTTACAACTAGCCACCACTACGTAGTAGCGAATCTTGCACTTCACGCCTATTTGGCGACCAAGTAAAGATATCGACAAAACAGACCAAAAAGTTTCCAAAAATGGTTTTGGTTTATTTGAAGTTAAAGAAAACCAAGCCTGATAACCCCATTGAAACCAGCCCCATCTTTAATCTTCCCCAAACTCTCGACAAAATCTCACTTATAATAACGCAACTACTTCTTAGCTTCCCAGAAACAGGACATTTGTTCTGTGAGAAGGATTGGCTTTTCTGCTCAACAAGTCAGAACAGTAATTAAGTCTAAGGCCGTCGACATGCCGCCTCTGGGTGTGCAACTATACGTCACAGAACGTCAGGTACGTACGTCCCTCCCTCTCCTTTTCTCTATATTTCTTCTCCCCTTTATGTCAAAACGGAGAAATGTGCAGGTGGTGATGGATAATGGCATAGTTCAAGTCACGTTTTCAAACCCAGATGGCATAGTGATCGGAATCCGATACAATGGAGTCGACAACTTGCTCGAAATTCTCAACGACGAATATAACAGAGGGTATATTGTTGTGAACATCTCGTCCCATTACAGTAATTCTTCCATGCATAAATACGCTGCTTCACAATAATATTATTGTGCATGCAGGTATTGGGACCTCGTGTGGAGCCCATCCGCCTCCACAACTGGATCGTTCGATGTGTATGTATTCTGTTCTCTTTTCCAAGTAGGCTCTCTTACAGATTTCTGGCTCATAAGTTTTGAGTAGAGTTTTTTTTTTTTTTTTTTTTGTGCTTGCAGGATAAAGGCTACGAGTTTTGAGGTTATAGTGGAAAATGAAGACCAAGTGGAGCTCTCCTTTACACGAAAATGGGATCTGTCTCTCGAGGGAAAGCTTGTGCCTTTAGAGATTGATAAAAGGTTAGATTGTTTCGAATCTTGCTTTGGCAAGAAAGTTAAATTCCAGACCTTTTTCTTATGAATGGATTTGTAGCTATGTGTAGGTTTGTAATGCTTCGGGGTTCGTCAGGGTTCTACTCTTATGCTATTTACCAACACTTGAAAGAATGGCCTGGTTTCAACCTTGGTGAAACCAGACTCGCCTTCAAACTCAGAAAAGACAAGTAACACCCAAATTCTCTACATTATTTCATTGAATGTTTGTTTTAGCTTAAATAGTACCTAATTTTTTTTGGATAATTCTTAATCTTATTCTTAATTTTTTTGGATAATTCTTATGTTTTTGTATATAATAATAATAAAAGAATAGTTTGACTTTTTTTTTTCTTTTGAGGGATAAACTTAATTGGGCATTTTTAATATATTAAACATAAAAATAAGCATTTTAAAAGATTTAAAGACAAAATTGAGAATTAAAAGGGGGACTACTTTGGTATATTTGACCTTTAATTTATAGCATTTGTTTGTAATTTGAAAATTTGAACAATGCATATGGATAATTGTCGTAGGTTCCACTATATGGCCATGGCAGACAACAGACAGAGATCCATGCCGCTGCCAGATGACCGGTCTCCGCCAAGAGGCCGAGCCCTGGCCTATCCGGAGGCTGTCCTGCTCGTCGACCCCGTCGAACCTGAGCTCCAGGGAGAGGTCCATTATTGAATCTCTTTAATCTAAATTCCTCCAATTTCGTATTACAATAAGTTGAAAAAAACCATAATCATGGAAATGCAAATGTTCTGATTTCTTTTCGATCGTCATGCATTGGTGTGGTACTGTGTAAAGGTGGATGACAAGTATCAATATTCATGTGACAACAAAGATAGCAGCGTCCATGGATGGATATCCACTGACCCGCCGGTCGGGTTCTGGCTAATCACCCCCAGCAACGAGTTCCGGTCCGGCGGACCCGTTAAGCAGAACCTGACTTCTCACGTCGGCCCAACCACCCTTGCTGTAAGTGATTCTTCATTCATTCTGCCTTCGTTCATGGGGTTGTTCAATGTTTGAGGGCATCAGAAGCCAGAGTCTTGACTCAAAACGACGTATCGAATGATCAGGTTTTTATTAGCGCCCATTACACGGGAGAGGATCTGGTCCCTAAAATCGGAGCGGGCGAGGCGTGGAAGAAAGTTTTTGGTCCTGTGTTCATCTATCTCAACTCAACTTACGATTCCAGCGACGCAATTCAGCTCTGGGAAGATGCCAAAGCACAGGTTTCTTCCTTTTTCTTCACTATTCATTTTCATTGGAAGATAGTTAATAACTACTCTACACTTCAGCTCTGGACTAAACACACACAACTCTAAAAGTTATTACTTAAAAATTTAATCTAGTTCTAAAATTTCACAACTTATTCAATCGAAGACTGAGACTTCTTGTTCCGTATGAAAAGGAGACGATCGAAGTCCAAAGTTGGCCCTACAGCTTCCCTGCTTCGGATGATTTTCCAAAGTCAAACCAGCGTGGTAATATCGGTGGTAGACTCTTAGTCAAGGATAGGTACACAATTGCCAATGGACATTGGAAAATCTTAATAGGTTTTAGTATTTAGTCCATAAATTAATTAATTAGTCGAATGAGGAGATTGACATGATTTAGGTACGTCAGCGAAGACTTCATACCAGCAAACGGTGCGTTTGTTGGCTTAGCGCCACCAGGAGACGTAGGATCGTGGCAAAGAGAGAGTAAGGTAAACTTATTTACTTTTCCTTATTTAATTTCCTTTTCTAAAAAGGGAATATTATTGGCTGATCATTTGAATATTATTAGGGCTACCAATTTTGGAGTAGAGCAGATGAAAGTGGATACTTTTCTATCAACGGCGTAAGAACTGGCGACTACAATCTTTATGCATGGGTCCCCGGTTTCATTGGAGATTATCGAAATGATTCTCTCATCAACATTTCAGAAGGTTCTAATTTTCTTCCTGTGGTTCACATTTATATATACTTTTTTGCAAGTCATGTAGCTTTGGACGTAAAATTGGTTAGAACAATTACTGGTTTAGGAATGCGAACGAATTAATCTATTAGATTTATAACAAATTAGAGATTTGGAACCAAATAAAATCTATCTAAACCAAATCGATCAATCATTTTTGAATTTATATGTTGTGAAATTGAATCGATTGAAATTTACTGGTAGGGTAGATGAACCAATTCAATTCTATCGATTTTATCTGTTTTTTCAATTTGAACTTGCAATTCTAAGTTAAAATTTTGTGTGTGCAAGAGTATAGGTAGTGAGATAGACGTGGGTGACATAATATACGAAGCTCCGAGAGAAGGGGCTACAATGTGGGAAATAGGAATCCCCGATCGCTCAGCAGCAGAGTTCTATGTTCCAGATCCAAATCCTGGCTACGTCAATAAGCTCTATCTTAACCATCCTGATAAGTAAATATAAATCTACGAGCTCATCCCTCATTATTCTAATTAATCCCTTCATTTAATCAATTCGATTTATTCTTAAGTTGACAATTAATTTGGCAGGTTTCGGCAGTATGGTCTGTGGGAAAGATACACAGAATTGTACCCCGACGCAGACTTGGTATATACAATTGGCGTTAGTGATTACACTAAGGATTGGTTCTTCGCACAGGTCACCAGGTGTTTGTTTATCTTTAGTCTTAGTTTTTCTCTTCATCAATTCAATATTTAGATCTTAGGATTGGTTCTGAATTCTGATTTCTCTTCAAAAATACTATAAATTTTATTAATGTTCTAGTTTTTGCTGATCATGATCCGTAGGAAGACAGAAAACGGAACATTCAAGGGGACAACGTGGCAAGTGAAGTTCAAGCTGGACAATGTGGACAGAAAAGGAACTTACAAGCTTCGGATCGCTTTGGCTTCCGCTTCTCTGGCGGAATTGCAGGTATACAGATCAAATACAACCTTAATTATTTTCTTTTTTCCTTTCTAGTTTCTGGGGTGGCGTGCAAAACCAGTCCACTGTGATGTTTTTGAAGGTTGCCGTAAATGACCCAAAATCAAAGCCAGCGTTCTCGAGTGGGCTGATCGGAAGGGACAATTCGATCGCCAGACACGGAATTCACGGCCTGCATTGGCTCTACAACGTGGATATTCCGGCCAATCGCCTCGTCGCCGGCGACAACGTCATCTTTTTCACGCAACCAAGGAGCACCAGCCCTTTCCAAGCTATTATGTACGATTATATTCGTCTGGAATCTCCTCCACCTCCCTCCTCCGCCCATGCTTTGAATTAATATATATATTTTTAATCTGTTTTTAAATAATAATTTTTAGATGCGTTCCAATTTCAAATGAAATTATGTCGACTTGTTTTTTATAAAACGTATAATATGGTGCCAGTTTTTTTTTGTTGGAAGGTCGCAGTGTTTTCATCGGTTTTTTTGTTTCAAAAAGGTGGGGTGCAATTCAAAATCTTTTATTTTAGGTACATTATACATAAATAAACATATGAAGCTCTATCCAAAATTATATGTGCGCATTTAAAATATTTGTAACACAGAAAGTGCGTTAGCGTCGACATGACCATCAAACACTATCAAATACCAGTACGAGTTTTGATAGAACTTTGGTATCTTGCTGACTTATCCAGTAGTGTTTATATTTTTTTCCCTTCTAATTTAGAGTTTCACCCCTGAGGCTTTTAACCCAATCAATCTGATAGCTACACGATGAAAATTAAACTCAATAATTATTTAAAAAAACGTTAACGATAATAAAGGAATTCGTTAACGATATCATTAAACGTCGTGACTTCATTCTTGCTTCGAAAATATCAATAACAAACAAATTACTGTCGGAGTGATTTGTTAATTAATTAAGTTGGTTCTTGGTGTTCTCGGCTGCCTCAGTAGCTTGAACCTGCATTTTGGCAGTCTTTAAATCTGCTTTTGCCGCTTCCTCTTCGGTCTTAGCTGTCATCTTCTTTCCCTGCAGCCAACCAAATTAAAACGTCGTTGTTCTTAAATCTAATTCCTCTCCTGCAGAGAGATAGAGAGAGAGATAATTAATTTAATTAATTAATTACTCACCCAGCCGACGAAAAAAGCTTTGACATATCGGAGTGTCTCCTGAGAAGATGCATAAAAGGACATGCACCCACTCTTTATGCGATCCATCGCCGATGACTCTCTTCTTCCTTGTTTCTGGCCGGAAAACGTCCCTGCTGCGACGGCTGCGACGGCGTCGGCGTTGAAACTCTGATTTCGTCTGTGGTCTTTGACGAACACGTACGTTCACATTGAAAGAGCCCTCCGTTGTGGATTTATTTGGAAGGCGTTGGGCGTTTGGGGCTAAGCCAACGCATCTCCTAATTTTGTCCACGTGGTAGTTCTGCAACCTGTCCACGTGGCGGCAATAAAACACCCCACACGGAACAACAAACAAGCATGCGTGGTGGCGTACGTTTAGTACCCAACCAGATATCCTTCTGCTCACCATCGTATTGACAATTTTATTGGTTCTACGTTCTCGTTCTTTTATGCTTGTAGTTGTCAATTTTGTAACAATAATTTATTTTCAAGCACTTTTTAAATTTATACTATCACCATTCATTGATATTTTAGATATTTATCCCTTATCATTTTAGTAAACAATACTTAATTAGTATTTTAATTCGACGATAACTGACATATATTTTAATGAGGTTGTGAGTTCGATCCCTCATTTTCACGTATTGTACTAAGAAGAAAAATGTTATTGATAAACAATTATATTATTTGAGTACAATATGTTGAGGAATAGATTCAAACTCACAATTTCTTAGTTTGAGGTATATACCAAAGCTATGCTCGCTTTTGACAATAACAAATATCCCTTTAAAATTAGAAATCTACAAATATAAATAATTATAAACCTACACACTTGTCAAATATTGATTCTAAAAATAACTCGATAAATTCTGTAATACCATTCGTCTTTGATTAACCACCACAGGGAGACTGGTTGGTTTAGGCCCATTGCTATTGGGCTTTATATTCTGCTGATAAATTTTCTGGACCGGCCCAGCCCAATAACAAGACTGGTTGTCAACCCATGTATTTATGGTTGACTAGGTATTGCTTTAGACTTTAGAGGTCTGCAAATTTTACAGAAACTTTCCACTGGATTACCATCGTGACTCGTATGCATGGTTTTCGATATTAAATAAGTGCTGTTATTCAAACGCGTGGTTATTAAAATAATAAACTTTTAAGAAATTATAGTAATACCGACATTTTAAAAAAAGTTTTATGAATACTTTTTACAAGTGTAACGTCAAAAATAAATAAATAATAAATTTAACGTCATAGATCTATTTTTCATTATACTAAACGTGAATATGAAGGATTGAACATCTGACTTCTAGAAGACGAACAGGACTACTTACCTGCTTCATGTTGACATGTTTATTAATTTTAAACTATGTTGTGGTTAATACTTATAGAGTGACGCTCCCAACTAAAAAGTAATTTATTTTACTAAAAAAAATAATTATTTTCCCACACTATATTTCCACTCTCTTACAATAATACACGATATCTATGCAAGTAAATAATATGATGTCAACAACAGGTTGTAAATTACTAATTTATAGTATAATTTGAGTGGATATGACACACATTATCATATATTGGTGGTTAAATCTTCACCTCGAGAATACATCCATCACATATTTATACACATATATACATATATAAAAACAATGCATATAATAAACATACATTGGTTGCTATTATTTAAGTAAATAAACGATATTGCAAATAAGTTAATCAATAATTTGCCATGCACAAAAGATTGCTATATTTACCGATATTTTTTCCCAAAAGTTTCCAAGCTTGCAATCACTTTTTATAAATTATAAAATAAATGATATAATAGTAAATATTTGTCTTTTTATGCCGTTCTAACCTAAACAAAGTTAATGAATAATCCCATTATAACGAAACAATATATGATTTTATTTATTTATTTATATGACAAGATTATTATTTTTACGGAAAATTATTAATTTTTAATCTGCTTGCAAATTTTTTTTAAGAAAAATAAGCGTACAGTAGCATAGTAAAACTATTAATTTATAATAAATATTATATATACCCTTTAAAATCCCATATTTAACATGTTAAAGTATGCGATCTTGATTTCATACTATCTTTCGTAAAAAAATCCATTTATATATTTGTGCATTACAAATGAGAAATGAAAACGCATCATGATTGGAAAACTAAGTACTGGTTTGGTAATATTTTTTTTTCTTTTTTTTTTGTTTATGTTTCTTAATTTTTAATAAATAAAAAATGAATTGTACGACTCCAATGTTTATAAATCCAAGTATGATACATAATATTTTTATTTAGGTTTGGAACAAATTGAAAATGAAAAGAAACTAATAAACTTGTTTGGGTTGTTTCTATGATTTATAAACAAGTATGAGAATGTTTAAAAAAAAAAGGAACAAAAACAAACATAGATAATTGCAAACTCCTTAGATTTTAAAAAAGTTTAAAACAATACCAACCTTAATTAATTATAAATTGTTGAAAGTATAACAAGATAAACAATCTACAACACAATAAAAGAAAATAGTGACTTGTAAATATAGCAAGCAAACTAATAGTTAATCGTAAATGTAATAACTATTTTTATGATTTGTAAATATAGCGAAAAAAAAGGGCCAACTCTAACGAACAAAAGAAAAAGTCGATTATATCCTTACACCAATATACCTAATATAAAATATATCACAAACTTATGTATTTAATACGAAGTATATCACATAGACAAAATTGAAATAACAAGAGAAAGGAAAAAAAGA